AATCCCTAGAATTATGAAATTTTATATATAAACATTGAAATAATTATAACTGCAGAATGACTTCATTATTTTTATTTTAATGTTGAATATTTTTTCTAATCATTCTCGCAAGTTCTTTTTAATTGTATATTATATTTATTTTCAACTAATTGAAAACCTTAAAAAGCTATTATTTAAAAAATAAATTTTAAAATTACTTTAAAAGTTAGTATAATGTAACAATACAATTATTAGATCAATTTTTTGTAACATATTATTGTAGTAAAGAAATTTCATAACAAAATTCATTATTTAATTTAAAAAAAATACTTTTTATTAAATAGTTTTACATTTGGGAAACGTTTACTTTCATCGTAAACAGTTAAAACATGGACAAGAAGGAGTAGAAATTGGTTCTGATGCGGAAATCCGCTGGACGGGTCATTTATTACGATTGGACGTAGAAGGCATTAAAGAAGCTTTGACCACTAAAACCACGGTTTGTGTAATTATTCTGCATTCAGTTAATAACGATTTTTACTATCGCAATGTTACAGGAGGCACGCAATGAGCGAGTTCTCACAGCATTAAACATTGATCAAGCATTAGATGCTAGAGATGCGTTTGCAAAGGCATTGTATAGTTCTCTATTTACTTGGCTTGTTGCAAGGATTAATCATATCGTTTTTAAAGGAACTAAAAAAACAACAGCTATATCGATTCTTGATATTTTTGGTTTCGAAGACTTTAAGGTAATAATTTAATTGATTATAGTACTATATAACTCTATGATAATTAATTAAAAACATTGTTAATATAGGAAAATAGTTTTGAACAATTGTGTATTAATTACGCTAATGAAAATTTACAAGTTTACTTTAATAAGCATATATTTAAATTGGAACAACAAGAATATGCAAAAGAAAAAATTCATTGGCAGAATATTTCTTACAACGTAATTTTATTTTTTGCACACTAAACTCGCAAAATATATTACATTATTTCTATTTTCTAGGATAACTTGCCAGTTATTCAATTATTATCTAAGAAGCCTGTTGGGATTTTACATCTATTAGATGACGAATCTAATTTCCCTAGAGCAACAGACTTATCATTTTTAGAAAAATGTCATTATAATCACGCTTTAAATGAGTTATACTCCAGGCCAAGATTGAATGGACCGGAATTTGGAGTGCG